TGAGAAGATAGCACGAGATGGGCGGTCTTCGACGACATTCGCTAAGATTGTGGAGGTTGTCACCAATGAGAAGATAGCACGAGATGGGCGGTCTTCGACGACATTCGCTAAGATTGTGGAGGTTGTCACCAAATATTTGAGAAGACAGCACGAGATGGGCGGTCTTCGACGGCATTCACTAAGATTGTGGAGGTTGTCACCCAAGATTTGAGAAGATAGCACGAGATGGGCAGTCTTCGACGACTTTTGCTATGATTGGAAAGGTTGCCACTATGATTCAAGAAAAGGCTCGAGATGTAGCAACATTGATCGACGACGTTCCCTAGATTGTGGAAGATCGTCAAAACAAACAGCAAGATGGCGTTCCCAAGATTATGGAGGATTGTCACAAACAACTGAGGATTGTTTCAAGAGAAGCAATCTTTGATAGTATTCCCTTGGACGTGGAATATTATCACAGCGGAGAAGGTAGTTTCAGGCGAAGCAATCTTCTAATTGGAAGCAGTTACAAGGCGTAGCGGTTTTCAGGCGGGATGGCATTCTCTAGCTTGCAGGAGGTCGTCAAAACAACAATAGCAACAATCAGTTACTTTTAGAGACGTGTGCTCAACGGTGCAAGATACGCGTTTCTTAACTCTTTTATCTGTTTAACTAATGCTAGTTTTGCAGGTATCGGCGTTATAAGATTGATTTAGGATGGCAGAACGTTCTGAATCATTCTCCGTCCCTATCGTTACTTTGACTTTCGTTTTCGAAACTTGCGTTTCTCCAAACTCAGTCAAAGTGGGGGCTTCTGTAGACACCCATTTGTGTCTCCCCAAAACCAAACCCGGTGATGAGTACCTTTCACGTCGAATCATAATCGAATGAAACGAAAGTGTGGAAAGGTCTAGTGTTGCGGAAAGTTTTATTTCTTTTCTTTTCTCCCTGTTTTTGAAAACTTTATTTTAAGAAAACAGCCAATCCAGTTTGGTTGGTCCATGATATGGGTCCAATAGTGGTGTAGTTGGATGGGGATTGCAAAGACCTTTCCAACGATATATTATAAGCCCAATTCCGATGAATATTGAGGAATTTATGGCCAATTTACTAAACTGGGCCCGGTTTGAGTTTTAAGTACGGCCCAATGATCTAGGGGAGGGCCTAATATGATTTATCATTCCTAATGTAATTAGGAATGGTTTTGGTCTTCTAGAACATTCTAGAAGGTTTTTATCATTCTTAATTCAATTAGGATTCTTTAGAGTTTTAATTAGATCAAATAGCATTTTCGACTGAAATTATATTATTTTATCTTCCAGTACGGTAAAATTATCAGATTTTTCGAAAATGTGTTAAAATCCAATATGGCGTCCAACCCCAAGCCTTGGCGCCTGGAACCAGGATTGGCGCCAGACGCCAGCCATTGGCGCCTGGCGCTAGCCACTGGTCCTGGCGCCAATGAGCCAGGGCTGGCGCCAAGGTGGTTTTGCGATCTTCAGGCTCTGTTTTGATAAATTATCTTTTTTTTGGATGTTTTTCTCTATAAATATTGTATCAAAAACTCCGTTTTCATCACCAATTATCAACTATCTTCATCATCTACATCTATCGTTCACCAATTCTCTTTATTCTTAAGTTTTCACCAACTATCTTCATCATTCAAGCATCATCGATCATCAATTCTCTTCATTCACCAATTATCAATATTCATTCAACTTTCATTAGCATTCATTCTCTCTTTTCTAAACTTTACTTTTTTCACACAAAATTCCGCATTCACAAGATCTAGAAACACCTAGCCATATTCGAAGTTGCCTTCGCCCTAGACGTGAAAGGTTTTAATTTCTGAGGGTTTGGTCCCAAATCTCTATTTCAATTATTTAATTTAATTGTTTTGATTATTATTTCCCTTGAAGTTACTAACGTGTGTATTTTGTTATTAGAAAGAGGTACGAGGCATCCAAGTAAATACTTTATTGATTTTATTGATTTTATGATGTAGACATCATGTGTTTAAGTTATGATATTCCTAGTATCATGTCTAGGGTGTTTTTAATATTAAGCATGATTAAGAATATGATGCTTCCTATGTTCTTTCTCACATTTATGATTATGATTGATGATGATTATTTATTATGTTGCTTGATATGCATATTATTGTATATTGTTATTGCTTGATCACCTTTTATTGCAGGTTAAAGGGAATTGGTATTTGCAACCACGCTTAATAAGATAATTAATAATCTTGTTAGGGTTAATTGTGATTATAATTCAAGTGATCGCCAATAATAGATTTATTTGTGCATTAAATTCAACCAACATAGATTAAACAGGTTTAGGGTTAATCCTATTGATTGTATGTTAGTCAGAAAGCGCACATGAATACGAGCAGAATAAAGTAGAGGCCTATTATTAGGGCAGGTTCAATCTCTTTTAGGTTGGATTTGTACCATCATCCCCGAACCCTTATTTGGTTCATGACCTTATGGAGTTGACGATCTCTTGGATCGTTAAGGGGTGTAACCTTCACCTCGTGAACGGTTTACATGTTCCTTAAAAACTTGTTGGCGACTATTTTGCTCTATCTTCTTCCTTTTTGGACGCCACCGTACTTTAGTGTATGATCACAGTGGGGTTCAAGCAGTGGGATCTTGAAACTATTCCCTACACCCAGTCACTATCACAAAAAGCCGTCAAACACAAATCCTTCATAGGACGTAGCAAAATACCTTGACCAGGACTGCCTTTGATGTAGCGTAGTACCCTGATAGCTGCATCCCAATGTTGCACTTGCGGGTTACTCAGAAACTGTGCAAGAGTATGAACAAAATAACTCAACTCTGGACGAGTGACGGATAAATAAACAAGTCGCCCAACTAAGCGACGATACTGATCCGGTTGAGAGAATGGCTCCCCCTCGGCATATGCCAGACGATGGTTCTGCTCCATAGGTGTATCAATAGGCTTACAACCTAACATACCTGCCTCAAATAATACATCTAAAGCATATTTACGCTGAGATAAAAATATACCTTCTGGACCACGAGCAACTTCAATGCCCAAAAAATACTTCAACACACCAAGATCTTTCATATGAAAACATGTACTCAAATACGATTTAAAACGAATAATCGCATCATGAGAAGAACCAGCAATAATAAGATCATCAACATAGACAAGTACATGCAGAGAGACTGATCCCAGGATATAACTGAATAATGAATAATCTGCATACGATTGCTTGAAACCATACGATTTCAAGGCATTAGACAATTTAGAAAACCACTGTCGAGGAACATGTTTCAGACCATATAGAGACTTACGCAACCTACAAACCTTCCCTGGAGTAGGACAGTTATAACCTGGAGGTAACTACATATACACCTCCTCCTCCAAATCACCATGAAGAAAGGCATTATGAACATCCATTTGATGCAACTCCCAATTTAAAGAAGCAGCAACAGAAAGAAAAAGTCTAACAGTCCCCATTTTTGCCACAGGGGCAAAAGTCTCATTATAATAACCACCTGCAACCTGTCGATTGCCATACACAACAAGACGACCTTTAAGTCGCTCTACTTCACCTGTAGATGTATATTTAATTTTATACACCCAACCACTACCAATAGCCTTCTTACCTGGAGGTAAGTCCTCCAATGTCCATGTGCCATTTCGTTCGAGAGCATCAATTTCTTCTTTCATCGCCTTACACCACCCTTCATGTTTCACAGCCTCCCTAAATGAAGAAGGCTCTTTACCCTTTGTAACTGATGTCAAAAAACACTTGTGTCTCATAGAAAAATTGTTATAATCAACATAACAAGCTATATCAAATTGTTTACCTGAAGAACGTGATTGAGAGACGGGAGCAGTAGTTGTTGATGGAGTGGGGTCTATAGCCTGTCGAACAACCGTATTAGTCACATAACCACGGAGCTTCGAGGATGGGATTTTTGTACGATGACCACGACCTAAAACCTAAACATTACTAGGAGTATTACCCCTTGCCACGTCACTATGAGAACTCGTACTCCTCCTTAACTCAAGAGAGGCAGTAGCAACACCATCACCTATTGAATCATTATCAGGCACATGCAAATTGTTAACATCACCATGCAAAGAATCACTATTACCATGCAAATTATTAACCTCCACAGTAGCATGCATATCTTGCAAAGAGGCCACATCAGAAGCACTAACAATCTCATGAACAGGTGTAGGCACATGCAAATCATTATCAAAGTCTTCATCATCCCATAATCTAACTTGATTAAAATAATTTTCCCATTGTACTTTCTCCGACTCATCAAAAATATCAATAAAAGGAAAAGTATCTTCAACAAATTGCACATCTCGGCTTATTAAAAACTCATTAGTCTCTAAATCATAAAACCTCCATCCTTTTTTCCCATATGGATAACCAACAAAAATACACCGTCTGAGACTTTGAGTCAAATTTATCCTTAGCACGCGAATTATTCACAACATAACTCAAACAACCAAATACACGCACTTCATCATAAGAAGGAGGTTTACCAAACAAGCATTCATGAGGGGATTTTCCTTGTAAAATAGGAGTCGGAGTCAAATTGATAAGATGAACCGCAGCTAAAACACATTCCCCCCAAAAATACTTAGGTAATTTAGCTTGAAAACGTAAAGCCCGGGCAACATTTAAGATGTGCTTATGTTTTCTCTCTACACGACCATTTTGTTGTGCGGTATCAACACACGATGTTTGATGCAATATTCCTTTTTTTATCGAAAAAGGACCTTAAACTCAAGAACTCTTGCCCATTATCACTTCTCAAAATTTTAATCTTTTTATTAAATTGAGTTTTAATCAAAGAATAAAAATTACGAACCAAATTTCCCACTTCATGTTTCCCAATCATCAAATATACCCATGTTGCACGAGAATAATCATCCACAATAGTAAGAAAATATCTAGCATTACAACTAGACGATACTCTATTTGGACCCCAAATATCACAATGTATCAAATCAAACAAACCAGATGCTTTATTCATACTCAAAGGAAAAGAGTTTCGGGGTTGTTTACCATAAAACAAATATGACAATCAAACACACCACACTTTTTATTCATACTACTACTAGCTACTCCAAGTAAAGAAGAAACTACTTTCATCGAAGGATGACCTAAACGCCTATGCCATAACATACTTGCATCTGGAACCACCATAGAATTGACTTGAAAACTACGAGCACGGACCGGCCGGAAGAGATAGACCCCATTATACTGCACCCCCGCTCCAATCAGGTTCTCCAAAGTGCGGTCCTGAATAGTACATAGCTTGTTAGTGAAAAGAACAATATATTTTTGCTTTTCTAATAATTGAGACACTGACAATAAATTACAATTTAATTCGGGAACAAATAAAACATCGTCTAATATTAAACCATCACTCAATTTTATTTTCCCTTCTTTAGTGGCCGTAGTACTTTTCCCATTAGGCAAACCAACGGGAGATAAAATATCACGCAAATTATAAAACAAATTTAAGTCACCCGACATGTGATTTGATGCTCCGGTATCATTTATCCACTCATTTGAATTATACATACCGTGAGAATTATTGTCAGTTGAAGGTGGGGCTTTAGCATCCTTAATAGCACTCATAAATTGAGCCCACTGTTCATTAGTCAAAGTTGGAGCACTTGTACGGTCAGCATCATTTATATCATCACCATTATTTTTCTTTGAGCTACTACTCATACTGCCAGCAAACCCACGACCACTAGAACCTTGCGCACGACCACCACAGCCACCTCTACTTGACCCACGACCACCACGCTGACCACCACGCCCACCAGAATTAAAAGATTCGGGCCAGCCATGTAGATCGAAACACTTCTCCTTCACATGACCCTTTTTGCCACAATGATCACATACACGAGATTCACCACTACTCGACCAAGTAGTCCGACCTTGAGCCGTACTAGACGCAGCAAACCCAACAGCACCATCTGGACGATTATCATGAGCATCCGAGACGGTTTGCTTGCGTTCATCCGACACAACCTTTGCATACGCCACATTGAGAGAAGGAATAGGGTCCATCATGAGGAGAGTAGACACCACACTGCCAAATTTCTTTGGCTCCAAACCAATACAAAATTGATGGAGTAATTCACTCTCAACAATTTTAGCATATTCAGGAGCAGCTGTACACGTACACTTGGGAATTTTGACATAACTATCCAATTCATCTTGTAATTTTCGTAACTCACCAAAATACACCGCCACCGGCCTACCACGTTGCTTGCAATCTACAATTTGAGCCTTTAACTCTAGAATACGAGGGCTATTGCCAAGGGAATATCTATCACGTAGATCATCCCACAAAGACTTGACATGGTCTGGAAATCGAACAGTTGATCGCACAGAAACATCCAATGTATTAACAATTCAAGCAACAAGCATTGAATTAACAATGCCCCATTGATCAAAATCAGGAGACTTAGCATCCGGCACCGTAATAGTACTATCAATAAAACCGAGTTTGTTCTTCGCACGGAGGTTATTGCGTAAAGAACGAGACCACTCCTCATAGTTGTCTCCTTTCAACATAATAGGGCTTATCACAGCCCCTGTACCTTCAGTCGGATGGAGATAGTAGGCTGAAAATGGTTCGTATCGAGGGCCCATAGGAGGCGGAACATCTTCACCACCAGGCATCACAACTCAAAAAGAGCAACAAAGAGCACACAAAGCGGAAGCACAAACCAGGAACACACGGAAACAATTTGGAAAAGAAGAACAAAGCTAGGTTTTGTGTTTGGAAAAGGAACGGAAAAAAAATCTCTAATTTAGAGGGCTCTTGATACCATGTTAAACTTTAATAAACAAATTAGGAGAAAACGGCTTAATGAGACTTTACCATTAAACACGAATATATATAGGCTTACAACATTAACCTAACTTACCAAAAAACTCCTAGCAAGATATATACAAATATATTCACAAAATATATCCAACTTAACATAAATATATCCTAACACCGAAACCCTCTACGAAACCCAACAACCCCAGATATAGAATCGAAACCCACGAACTCAACCACCGAAATCCACGAACTTAGATTAGTGGTCGCGGTGGGGTCTGTCAAAGAATGTTGCGGCAATCTGGGGTCTAGTTGCGGTGGGGCAGAGAGCACCCATTTATGGTAATTATTGCAGATAATCGTAGGCGGAGTGAGTAGATTACTTGATATAAAATTAACTCAAAATCGATTTTTGCCCAATTTAGCCTAAAATTTCATTTCTTTCATCCACTCTGGATTTAAATGTCAAAAGTTCGAATCCAAAATTAACATGAACAATTTATTCCACATTCAAAGATTAATAAAAGTTTGCAACCACTTGACTACTTGAGTAAAACAAAATTGTAACCAGCAACAATCAAACTAAATATTAAAAAAAAAAAGACTAATTAATGTTGAGTATTACCAGAAGATGGTCTTAATTGGTTCGTCCCTTTGATCTTAATTTAACCAATTAGAAGGGATTTTATCCTCATTCTTTGGGTTAGCAAACGGGATCGTTGACCAACCTTTACCCGTGATGAGAGGAAAAGTCATCATTGTCAAAGATAATGTACTGTATAGACAAACTAGTATATTAGAAAAATATACCAGTATTTTTAAAAAATAAACTTTTCTATAGATTACTTGATACTTCGTATAAAATTAACTCAAAGTTGATTTTTGCCCAATTTATCTTGAAATTTCATTACATCATCCACTCTAGATTCAATTACCAATAGTTGAAATCCGAATAACGTACATGATCAAATTATTCCACATTCAAAGATTAATTAAAGTTTGCAAACACTTGAGTAAAACAAAATTTTAACTAACAACAATCAAACTAAAAAACAAAGGACTAATTAGTGTTGAACATAAACATCATATTCAACAACACTAGCACCACTTTTATCCAACATTGTAATAGTTTTAGCTTGTGCATACCCTGTTGCAAACCTAAACACACCACTTCCACCAACAACACCCATTTCTCGTACTTTATTCATCACTTGATTTCTTCCTAACACACTTAGAGTACTTCCATTAAATTCACCCTCTATAAACACCAAGTTCATTACCATCAATAGCCCCGGTTGCTTTTGGTCCGCAAACCCGTACATTCCTTGCGCGTACCCCACGATTTTCGAGTCTTTTTCGGGCCCTTCGGTCAAAGGATCATCGATCATAACAAGCGCGCCAAAACCACTTGAGGTTTTGTCCGTGTTAGGGGCTTGGGCTATACGTTGCGCGGTCAGGTTAGGCCCTTGGACGTAGTCGTGGAAGTAAAAGTGTAGATGCGTTAAGTTTTGTTGTTCTTTAAGACCCATTTCTTCTTTTGTTATGGATTTTGAGAATGTATAATTTTGTGGTATGAAGAAACTCAAGACTAGTAGGAAAGAAAAGAAGGAAATGGTGGGAATAGACATATTTTGGACAACAAATGATGCTTAATTTTGGTTAGTACATAGGAAGTAAGTTGTAATAATGTTGCATTTGGTTTATTATATAGAATAATTGAACACTCGAGGAGTTGTTGAACTTCCAGCTACTTGGCAAAAGATACAAGAAAAGTGGTCCATTAATTGGTGCTGCTCCACTAGTTTCAAAATTCTTTGGTGGTCCATCAACTGGGGACTGGGGTTAAGGCTAAAGGGTGTGTATTTTCTTATTTATTTTTTTTATGAACATGGAAAACTAATTTTTAGATACGGACTATTGAATTGAAATACAAATTGATGCTACTTAAACAATGCAAAAATAGGATTGGATTATCTTTATATCATTTTTTAATTTCGTCAGTCATCATTCACTATTTCTTTGAAAATATAACTATGTTATTCATGTGTATGTAATAAAATACTAGTGGTATATATAGGCGTATACCAAGCAAAACTTGATGGAGTTGATAGAGAACTCCCGTTCTGACTTTGAGGTTATAAGTTCGAGCCTCATTACTTACAAAATTCTTTTTAGGGTAGAGGGGGAGGTGACAGGTAAGGGAATCCCCCAACTCTCAAGCGATGACCTGCTAAGCTGGGCTAACTAAACCTAAGAGTGTTGGCTCAGTAGGATCTTTCATCTTACTTTAAAAATAAAGAGTGTATATAGGCGTATCAGCATATGTGATACCTAAACTATAATAACAACATTTATTTTTTGAAGGAGGAATAATAAGCTAAGGTTTTTAATACGAGTAAATTAGTACTGTATACATATTAATTAAAACACATCAATTTTTACATAATTTTTTTTTTAAAAAAAAAAGTCTAACTAATAAATTATTTTTTTTTAAAAAAGTCTAACTTATGAATGAAGTTTGAAAAGTTTTCAATGGAAAATAGCCATTTGACCGTATGAATGAAGTTTGAAAAGTTTTTGATGGAAAATAGCCGTAACTTTTTTAGGAGTCAAAAAACCTAACTAGAAACAACAATTGAATTTCCATGAACATTTAAATTGTGTGAATGATAGTAAAGGATTTCATCAAATCATATTTATTGATATTGTTTATAGTTAGCAATCCCTTGATTTACTCTTTAGATTGATAGTTAAAGATATCTCTTATTCTTAGCTAATGTTCCTAGACAAGTACTCCAATGTATCTAGTCGTATTATATTGCTTACTCATGTACTATATATATACTCATGGAATCACATCAATATAATTAAGCTTTCCAACATTCTCTTTCCCATAACTCTATCATGGTATCATGAGCTTTTGATCCATCTTTTCTTGCTTCCGCTACTACCATGGTTACACTATCAAAACCTTTTGTTGACGCCGACAAATGATGGTGACCATATCAAACTTTCTTCTCGGAAAGCTTCAAACCAAAATCACATTTTTCACTCAACTCTTTTTGGCCCCCCGTATTTCATATACCAAGAGATGCCATTGATATATTTTTTTTTCTCCAAACCCCTTACATGGAGAAACAAACCTTTTTCGATATCCCGTAATTTACCTATCATGTGTTACCATATACGAAATTCTCTCCAAAACCATTATGGAGAAACATAACATTCTGTTCTAAACCACCATCACCACCATTAATATTTTCTATCTCGCCTTCAATGGTGGTGAAGGATCGAAACCTCTATATTTTTTCCCTCCCATTTGTTGCAAGCATACGCTAGCAAATTTTTATTTATTTTTAAATATTTACAATCAATGGTTCATGTGTTTAAAAATCGTGAAAAACACCCATTAAACAACTTCTTATTCTCTCTCTATATACTATCTTTTTACTTCTTCATGCAACTCCTCCAAAAAAATAAAATAAAAATAAAATCTCTCTTAACTCTCAATTTGGTACGTACACCTCTCAATTGAAGAAACACCAACATCTTGAAGTGGCAATCAACAATCAAGAAGAACATTCATTTTACAAGATTGTACTTTCCCTTTGGCCGTCCATCTTGCGGGGGTGTGTAAAGGATTTGATCAAATCATATTTATTGATATTGTTTATAGTTAGCAATCCCTTGATTTACTCTTTAGATTGATAGTCAAAGATATCCCTTATTCTTAGCTAATGTTCCTAGACAAGTACTCCAATGTATCTATTCATATTATATTGCTTACTCATGTACTATATATACTCATGGAATCACATCAATATAATTAAGTTTTCCAACATTCTCTTTCCCATAACTCTATCAAATGAAAGAAGTAACATAGCTATTCCACTCTAAAATGGTGGTCCAACAAATAAACCTAGTTGCTTTTTCTTTTCTTTTTTTTTTTTTCCAATTTTAATATTATTATTATTATTATTATTATTATTATTATAAGAAACAAATAAACTTATTAGTTATGAATAAATAATATTCTAAAATTTATAGAATAATTATCAACAAATAAAAAGAAAATTGACACAATTTACCCATAATCTACCATACAAACACCTACCCGATAACCCAAAATAAAGCTACATTGACATTGATTTTAATCACTTGGAACACGTGTAAAACCACACTTACATAACAATCACCCCTAGGGTTATTATAAATACTCAAATCACTATAATCCAAAAGTATGAAATTTCTATTACAAAATGGCACTCCATTTCTATATTACCTTCCCATTGAAGCTAATTAATTTACCATCAAAGTGTGTTTTTCACCTTGAGGGTGTGACTTACACTTAATTGTACAAGTACAAACTTTTAATCTAATATCGGCCAACAAACTCTAAGAAGCCCTAAACAAGTTCCTCAATCCATACTTTCATTTCATAAAATTACTTTTTCATTGGACTATCAAACTTTAACTGCATGTTTATCATAAGAATAACCTAGATTATCATGATTAATAGTTGATAGATCAAAGTGAGTTTTATATACATCACTAACTAAACAACGTAAGGAGTGGCGACAACTTGGAGTTAAGCATGCGCTAGTGCGCCACTCTATTCACTCACACAATAATATAGTACGTGCAAGTACTACAAAAATGCATCACTCAATTCCATTCAAATATAAACCAAAAATAAATAAATACATAAATAATACGGAGTAAACTAATTAAAAATGATTTATATAATCTGATATGGAGTATATATTTAAGAATCTTATTAAAACACCTATTAGTGTTATTGATGACTTGATGTTCAATTATTAATTTTTTTTTTTTGACACAAGTTATTAAAATGTACATTTAGTACTTTTTTTTTAATCTTTGTAAATAGATACTCAGTACTAGTATATCACCTTGTATTTTGACGAGAGAGAGGGATAACTCAAGTGGTTAGAGCTTCCCTTCCTATTCCAAGAAATCTTGGCATCAATTCTCATCATCCGGCCTTGTGACTTTCAAAACAACACCAGAAAAAAAAAAACCCTTATATTTTGACTTATAACACCATTTATTAAAAAACAATTATAAAAAATCTTGCCCGATTTGTATAGGGTTGTAAAATTCTTTGTTGGTCCATTTTGTTGAGGTCGGTGATGCCAATCAGCCAATGTTCACTTTTTAAAAGAAAGGGGGAAATTTTTTAATAACGAAATAATATTAAGATGCATGCGTATCAAATTTCATATAAAAAAAGTCCAATTGATAATACAGGTGATAATCCATTTGACTATATGTGATTCTACAATATATTGGTAGAAAACAGACGTACCTTAAGGGGTCAAGGACCTAAGTCACCTAACAACCATTGAATTTACATCAAGTCATTAATGTTTGAATTGTGTGAACGAAAAGCCTAACTTCATTGTGTTCCAACAAATAAACCCAATTACAAAATTAGTACAGTACTTGATATAACTCATATAAGATATAATAACCCTTTACATTGATTATTGATGATGATCTTAATTGAATCACTAGTATAATTGACAGTTATTTTAACAGGAAGTTATTCTAATCTCATGGAAAATTAAAAAGTATTTTTGTCAACGAATTTGGTTATCAAGTTTTAAGTTTTTTATTTGGAAATTTTGCATTAAACCACCTTTTATAACCACTTTTTTTTGCAGGAAACCACCTTATAAATTTTTTTTCGCAAAAACACACCTTAATCTATATTTTTTTTGCAAGGCCACACCTTTCCCCGGAAAATAGAGTTTGACCTTGTTTTCCGAAGTTGACCTGACCACGTGCTTTGCACATGACCCCCTAAAACCACTAACCCTCCTTTTTTCCCCGCCCCAGCCCCCTCCCCCTTCCAGTGGCCGGCAGCCACCTCCCTCCTTCGTCGCCGGCGACCGCATCCCCTCCCTTTCCCATTCCCGTCCTTAAACCCAACCCTCAAGCCCAACCCATTCCCATACCTTTGTGAAGCGCAACATTCATGGCGGTTGACGAATGGCGGAGTGTGGGTCTAGGTCAATAAATCGAGCGGCGGTGCTTTAGGTGGAAAAGGAGGAGAGAGAATTCGTGGGCAGCGCTTTAGGAAAGTAGGTGGTGGTGGATCTCAGGGTTCGGGTGGTGAGAGTGAAGAAAGTGATGGTGGTTAGGTGGAAGGGGAGGAGAGAGAATTCGTGGGTTGGGGGAAAGGGAAGGGAGCAGGATCGCCGGCGCAGGGGTAGGGAGGTGGTTGCCGGCGCCTTTAGCTAGCAGGGTCTGGCAACGGGTGGGGGAAATTGGTTGGCTGTGGAAAGTGGTTGGCCGCCGAAAAATTGGTTAGTGCATCGTTTTAGGGTGTCACGTGCGAGACATGTGGTGGGTCAACCCCAGAATACAAGGTCAAAGTCTGTTTTCGGCCAAAGGTGCAGTCTTGCAAAAAAAAATTTAGATTAAGGTGTGTTTTTGCGAAAAAAATTTTATAAGGTGGTTTCCTGCAAAAATATGGTTATAAAAGGTGGTTTAATGCAAAATTTTCTTTTTATTTACTTTAAATGGACCGTCAATAATTAATTGCAAGTATATGTGTAAAGATAATGCTTTGTAATTTGGATCCTTTAGTCTTTTGACACGTTTGCTACACGGGCTATTACTTAGATAGATTACTTTTCTTGCAATGTGTTGCTTATTTGTGTTGTATGCGTCAGTGTTG